TTGCAGCTATATTAGCTATTCATGAAATTCAATTAACTGTGGTTTTTTCATTATTTTTGATATGCCAATGCAGTATTTGAGATTTGTCATTTGAATCAATTTTTTTTCAGTGTTTGCGATAAAATATAATTAGCATAATCTCCTAACAGTTTTTATTCCAACTTTCGAAGATAACGGAACATTTATGCTCGGAGTGGCTTTTTTTATTCAGTCAACTATCACCGATCAAAATAATAATTTTCAACAAAAATGTTCATTGCCCATTGAAGATATTGAGTACATTGGATTCCTGAGTACAAATGTAAAGAGATATTTCACCTCCGATTTTTTTGTAAAGTTCTGGGGGGCAGCAAAATCGTTCCAAATGGAACTGAGGCTAGCTAATTAGTCGTATTAATTTCGTACGACTCAAAGTTTTACCTTTTGATTTTGTCAAAAATGTATAGGTTTTCAATATTTTCTGTTCGCAAAAAAAAAATTTGGTATGAAATAAGGGACACTCTGAAAGAACATTCAGGGCTTTGCCATGATGTACGAGCAGTCTTGTCATTGTAATTGCTGCTGATGAGTTTTATCCTAATTGCGTATATAGTGTCTTTTGTTCTATTTGCTAATGGTGATTTTTATCCTAATAGCTGATGGTGGCTTTTTTTTAAAATGACGATGTGGTTTTTTTATCGTAATTGCCGGCATTGCAAATTTTATACTTTAGCTGACGTTGACTTTAAGATTCGAACATTTGTTTTAACTTTTTTTTCTTCCACGCAAAAACAGATACTAGAAACAATCACGGATGTGGGTCCAGTGATACATCATGTTCAAGTCATCGCAGTTGTGATTCCAAAGACAAAAACATTTTCAAAAAAGCCATGAAAAACCGGTTTGATTTTTAGTCTAACTTTGAGCGAACAAATCGATTGAGCATTAAAAAATTGTTCTGAGAAAACTTGATTTTTGTTTTAAAAAATTGTAAGCTTCATTTTTTAGCAATAAAGTATTTTTTGAAAATGATTGTGCAAAAAAAACTTAGAAAATCGTTTTTTGAATTTTGTTTTGCTAATCATTCTCTTTCTTATCACATCACGCTCAAAAATATTTTTTTGACGAAGAAAAAGAACCTTCTGTTGTTATTTTCATGTTTGTGGTCGGAACATTATGTGCTACTTGCACAGCAACCGGCTATCTTTGATATATTTCCTGACGGTGACTTTCAATCTTTTTGCTGGATTAACAGAACTAGCGATTCTGTTAACAAAAGATACTTACACTAAACATGGAGAGGGTAATTCATGAATGAAATTCGGGGGAATATTTCCCATAGGATTTTACCCAATCTGTTCACTATGAAATTTGCTTATTGTGAAACCTTAAAATACAACAATCATTCATCAAAAACTGTAGTCAAACTGTAAGTAGCCCAAAAGAGGAGACTCTTCGGATCACTCCGATGTAAATATAGATCATGTACATGGCCAATGTTGTGGACTCAGCCGCACGAATTGTTACGACTTTCTACAATGAGTATGGAAATGAACACAAGAAAGTCATTAACAGTTCACTGGGAAACAAAAAAATAAGACTGCCTAAACATTCAAGTCGATTCTGAAAGCCCTGTCAGTTTTCCTTAACAAAATGTCTTTCATAACTGAAGCTGGGAGACCCATACATTAAGGACATATACTAAGGATCTTAATCTGAACCACGTGAAGAAATTGATTTCGATTTTGCAGGTCTATTAGATTTATCTTGTGTCATTAAAAGTTACATTTTCCTTTGTATATACAGGTTTTCCAATTATTCAGACTTTGGTAGAATTCAACGTACACATTTTTTCCATGGGATGCCTAATTCAATTCAATTTGACCAAGTTTTTGTTTTAGTAGCCATGACTTCAAATCATTTAGTAACTCAAATAATATACAATTCAAACAAGTAACTTTATCTTATCTGGACTCCGAGAACGGAATGCGGACTTAGCTAAAAACTCATTACGAGGCCAAACTCTGCACTGGATAGGCGCACAAATTTGTTTTTGTAAGTTCCAGGATTCCATAGACAAGTCTTGTTAAAATTTAGTCTGAACAATGAAAGAAAATGAAGACCAAAAGAAGAACAAAGGGAGCGTATTTATTGCGGAATCCGCTAATAATTTACAAAATGCACAGCTTGGCCTCGTAATGCAGCGGATTTTGCGATAGCGCAATGCACTTCTATGATTAATCATTCTGGGTTCAGCATTTTTGTTCTACTTTTCGCGAACTTTGATCTGATTTCTACAGATTTTGCTGCTCCAGCAAGCAGTTTTACAGCTAGAGCGTTTAAGTCATTGGTCCGACTTTAGAAGACAGTAACGGAATATTTGTGCTCGACAGGCTTTTTTCTCCAGACAAATTACAATTTTTGGCTGAATAAAAACTTTTCTAAATTGGTTGGAGCAAGCTTATTTGCAAGAAATGATTTGTTGCTAGGAGCAAAATCTGTCGTTTTGTGTTTGTATGGCGTATGGGGGGGGGGGGGGGGGGGGGAGATTTTTTAAAAAAATCTCAAAACTAAAAAAATTATAATTGTTTGTTTTGGAAAAACTCATCAATTTTAACAAAAACTAACACTGCTCCATAGAACTTTCAAGGAACCCGGAACTTTCGGGGCCTTGCCCTCATACAAGCAGTCTTGTTGTTCCGACTTTCGAAGAAAGTCACAGAATACTTGTGTTCGGGTTGGTTTTTTCAGTCAAATTCGACTTCTCAACTCACCATTTTTGACGCAATCTTTATTATCATTCAAAAAATATTGTTGTCTTGAGCTCAAATTTTCATCTGTGATTGATTTTTGCAATGTTATGGGGGTTTAAAGACTGCTGATTAGGCCAATTTGGGACAAACAACGCGTGATATATTTCGTGCTATTAAGGCGTACGCGGAGATTTATTCTGTCTTAGAAATCGTTCCAAATTGAGTTCAGGCATCCATTTTGGTCCATTTGATACTGTACTACATGCGAAATATATCATCTTGTTCTTTACATAGCGCGTGGGGAAATAATTTTCAAAAAATTCTCAAAATTTTTTTTGAAATTTGTTACCTTTTTTGGAAATCTTCCTCATCTTTTTTTAAAGCAAACACTAATGTAGAGACCTTACAAGGCAGTCGGAACAATCAGGGTTTTGCCCTGATACGAGCAGTCTTTTTTGTATTTCAAAATTCACGGCAAACGAAAAAAAAATTGTTACGGATTCCTCGACAGAGCTTTTTCCAGCCTTGTCTTAAATCAAATTGGTCTCTTACTTTTAAGGAACAACAGCAATAGGCAACAGCAGTATAACAAAATGTTTCAACTTGTACAGTGTATCTGCACAATGATTGAAGATTTTTGGTAGAATAAAGGGCAAAAGTGGCAGACAAGAGATTTAAAAAAGTCGGGAACACAACCCGAATGGTCAGAATCAGATACAAGACTGCTCGCATCAGAATGAACCCCTGAACTTTGCGACTGCCTTTTAAGGTCTAAAGAGCAATGTTTGCTCAAAAAATTGATGAAATTTTTTCACAAAAAAAAATTTAAAAAATTTTTTCGAGATTTTTTCAAGTCATTCCCCCAAGCGTCATATAAATAAAAACAAAGTGATAAATTTTGCTCCTAGTAAGGTAGAAATTATGACAAATAGCTCGCTTCAACCAATTTGGAGCGATATTCAACAAGGATTAACTCTCCGCTAACTCGTTAATTGCGCGAAAAAAATCGCGCGGTAATTACCCAAAATTGGCCGATATTTAAACAATCATAATTTAAGAAAAATGATCACAGGTAAAAGATTTGTTTAAAATTGAGCACAGGACAACAATATCTTTCAGATGATACAAAAAATCCGTCAAAAATGGATAGTGGAAAATTCGAAGTTTGAATGGAAAAAAAAACACCCTGAGCACAAATATTCCGTCACATTCATCGGAAGTATTGATTGCCTGGCTAGTTTTGAAATACTTCGAAAAAAATTAATTGGGAAATTTTGTAGGTTATGCCCTGGTGCACTTCATATAAGTATAACTTGTCGCAGGGTCAGCAAAATTGCATTTGCATTCGTTTTGGGATCTGGCTACGTATCTGCTGAATGCTAGAAGGAACTACAAAATAGCAAATATAAAAAAAAACAAGACTGCTCGTATCAGGGCGAAGCCCTGAATGTTCCGACTGCCTTTTAAGGTTTATGGAGCAGCAGTAATAGCATAAAAAAAATAAATGAAATAAAATAAAATGATTTTTTTAATCTAAAATTTGAATTTTTTTATGAAAATCATCCCCCCACACGCCATATAAAGTACAAAATGAGAGATTTCGTTCCTTTTAACAAATCAATTATGGCAAATAAGCTTCGTTCAACCAATTTGGAACGATTTATAAGACGGATTAAATCTCCGCTTACGCGTTAATAGCGCGAATTATATCGCGCGTTAATTGTCCCAAATTGGTCAAAATGGCAATCTTTAAACCCCCATAACTTTACGAAAAAAGATCACAGGTGAAATATTTTTTCAAATTTGAGCTCAGGACAACAATACCTTTTGAATGATATAAAAAAATTCCGTCAAAAATGGCTAGTTAAAAAGTCGAAATTTGTCTGAAGAAAAAAAAAACCCACCCCGAGCACAAATATTCCGTTACTTTCGTATCGAAAGTCGGAACAACAAGAAAAAGAAAGTGAAATTAAACTTTATCAAAACGTAGTTCATTTTTGCTAAAATCGCAAATCGCGCTCAGTTCTTGCAAAAAAATGCAATCAAGTAAAACTTTTAAAAAAATTGGGAGATAAGGCTTCTTAGGAGAGTTGTGCGAGACTTTTGATCTCCAAGATCACAAGAGTCTACAAAAAGTCCAACATCATAAGATTACAGAAAAATTCAGTTTTTAGTAAAAACACTTTTATTCAAAACTTTTAAATAGCTCCGACTTATCTGTCGAGCCAAAACCTTATAGCAAAAACCACAAGAAGTTGATTTGCATACGTTGTCAGGTATGTCACTGATATTGACGTCAGTGTCGAACCAGATGGCGTGGTCTGATATGGTAGAGTAGAGCAGATTCCTGTCTATATGTGGACAGTACTCGTACACTGGTGGGTAGAACTTGCCCTCCAACAACCCTGTCTCAGGATCCCACGATATCTCTTTCACGTTACTAAGCAACATGATCCAAGTTGATTATATAGCGATAGTAATTGGAACTTTTTTTGGTCAAAATATGAAATAAAAAAACTACATTCTGTGAGGTTTTCCGAGGAAAAATTAAACTGTTTTATGGTTTTCCACTCAGATTACTAAGCCTTCGCGAAATTTTTAAACAATTTCTCGGCTGGGAAAAATAGTCTATCATATCATTTTTAAGTACAAACGGCAAGTTGAAGCTATAAAATAATATCTACTTATTATAGCTTTTTTTGACATGCCCCGTCCAAAATTCTAAACCCATGCAGCAAAAAATTGAAATTACGTTTTTTTTGCAAACACATGACTAGTTAAATTTGAGCAGCTTACAATTTGTTGAGTTTCATCTCAACCTCTTTCCTATGTTCGGTGAGGAAGGACTGCTGCCAGTGGTTGTAGTAGTTGACCAGAGGTCTGTCTTTGAAATAGTTCCGATCAGTCCAGCGTCTCACAATACAGGTGCCCTTCTGTATCATAGGCTCTTTTTATCTCCCCTACAATTACCCCCTCCCATGCTTAAAATAAAGCAAACCCCTCAGGAATTCGACCCCCTGATTACCCAAAGGGTACCCCCTTTGGTAATATTTTAAGACATCCAGTTTTGGCTGAACAACACCTAAAATTTTCTTATAAGGCCTTCGAGTTTCTGGTCGAAAGCTTCCAAAAAATGCTTCAAAACGCCCTTGTTGGTCTGTTTTTCTCCAAAACTTGCCTGCGGCGCAGAAATATTGGTCAAAACAGGGTCTTTAGAATGATTTGGGAGAGCTCGGGAAATCAAATTGGTCGTTGAATTGCAGTTTTTCTTTCTTGCCAGAAACAAAGTGGAAACAAGACTGCTCGTATCAGGGCGAAGCCCAGAATGTTGCGACTGCCTTTTAAGGTTTATGGAGCAGTAATAAAATAAAAAAATTGAATGTAATAAAACAAAATGATTTTTTTTTCTGAAAATCATCCCCCCACACGCCATATAAAGTACAAAAGAATATCCTTCGCTGCTAGTAACAATCAATTATTGCAAATAAGCTTATTTAAACCAATTTGAAACGATTTCTAGAACGGATTAAATCTCCACTTACGCGTTGAGAGAGCGAAATATATCGGATGTTTATTGTCCCAAATTGTCCAAAATGCCAATCTTTCAACCCCCATAACTTTACGAAAAATGATCACAGGTGAAATATCTTTTCAAATTCAAGCTCAAGACAACAATGCCTTTCGAACGATATAAAAAAGCCGTCAAAAATGGTTAGTTAAAAAGTCGAACTTTGTCTGAAGAAAAAAAGACCCACCCCGAGCACAAATATTCCGTTAATTTCGTATCGAAAATCGGATTAATTAGAAACGCAGTTATCATGCTGGGAGCGGTTATCTCATTATTAACTAGTACCCCATATTGCAATTTTGGAAAAGTTAGTTTTTTAACAGCCAGCTTTTATTGTTCCGACTTGACTTTCGAAGAAAACGGAATATTTAAACTCGGTATGGTTTTTTTTTTATTTAGTCAATTTTAGACGATTGAAATAATAGATTTCGACGACAATTTTTAAATCTCCACTGAAGATATTGATTTCCTGAATTCAAATCTAAAAAGATATTTTACATTCACAAAAATCTAAAAAGAATATTTTTGTAAAGTTCTGGGGGGTTTGAAAATAGCCAAATTGGCCATGTTCTGGACTAAATCATCTCGCCTTGAAGAATTGAATCATATTGCTGAGAGCGTAACGCGAATTATTTATGCGTGGCAAACTATCCCGAACAACGAAATTAGCACAGGTGACAAATCTTTTCAAATTTAAGCGCAGGACAACGATGCTTTTTGAATGATAGAAAAAAATTATGTCAAAAATGGCTAGTTAAAAATTCGAAAATTGTCTGAAGAAAAAAACCAACTCAAAAAGTTGCACACTTTGAGTTGATCTGCCCTCGAAACTCACAAAAGTAAAAGTTGGCTGTGTAGTAGGTGGAGGGAGCCGAGAAGGGGGCAGTGGAAGGGGAATCGAATTGGGATGGGGAGGATTAGGGTTAAAATAGAGGGAGTTAAACGAGGCCTGGATAATCTTCTGTCCGATGTGGCGTCTCTCCATGTCTCTGGTATAGCCTATGTTGTTTGAGAAGTAGGTGGATCCGTCCACTCCCTCACTCATACCCAGACAGAAGAAGGCGATGGACCTGATGGACTCGTGCAGGTACTGCATCTCGTGGTGGTAGTGCAGAGTTTGCTAAAGAACAAGAACCAATCTTTGGATCGATGCCCTACCCCAAACAGGCTCAAGGGCAGTTCAAGGGGGCATGCTTACTTAATACTAAGTCGGATATTTCTCAGAATTGTTGCTTACGTTAAACTTATGGATTGAACAAATGCCCTGAGTTTTTTGTCCTTATTTTTTGTCCTTTACGGCAAAACAAATGATCACAAAATTTGTAGTAATTTCGTTCGACATTATTGACAACTTCGTATACCATATTGATATTTTGGTTGATGAAGATGCTGGTAAGTTGTAAGGAGAACAGCTGAGCAGTAACAATGTTTTCTTCGAAAAAACAACAAAAGAATTGATTGAATTTTCGAGAAAAAAAAATCAACATTATCAAGGAACATGAGTTTTTGATTCAATACTAACTCCTAATGTTTTTGGTTACCGTTTAGTGTTTTTGAGTTTTCATTCCAGGTGAATTTTTGATAGTTTTTCAAGCATTTGCTGCTATTCCTTTGGTTTTTGCTACTGAGAACATTCTCGACACTGGGACAACTTTCACTGGGACATATATATACAGTTGCGGATCTAGGATTTTCTCGAGGGGGGCGGATTTTCAAAAATTTTCGAAAATTTTGTCGACTTTTTTTTAGGTCGACCGAAATGATTTTTCGAGCTTTCCCTAAGCCCGCCCGGTTTAGTCCGTGTTTTGGCCAAACTTTCTGAGCCGCAAGCAAAATTTTGTAAAAATAGTCCAAAAAAGGCGTTTTTAGGCACTTTTTGGAAAATTTTAACCAAAAAATCGCGTTTTTTCGGCGCGCGCTCCCCCTCAAACTTAGTATATACTGGCGCCGAAGGCGCCTTTAGAAAAATTTTATGGTCGGTCGGCCAGAAATGCGTTTCTTAAAAAGTACCAAAGGGGGGACCCTTTGGGTCGGCAGGGGGTCGAATCCCTGAGGGGAAGGAGGGGCGTCCGCCCCCGCCCCCCTAAATCCGCCACTGTATATATATCACACTGTTCTCTTTTGCTGAAGTATGATTCCAGTGATTTAAAAAAGATTCCTCATAGTCTTTTTGGGTGACGATTATGACATTGAGGTCGCCAACATCGTTTGCATCGAAAGCTTTTGGTAGATTTGAGAGCGTGCAAGATGCCAGCATTGTTGTGTTCTTTACTCAAGTAAGACTTTCCAATGAATCCACATTGCCATCAGTAGACGGTTTGTGGTCATTTCAAATAGTATCTTGCTTAAAATGTTATAACTATTCAAGAATTTATTTTTTTTCTCGGTGAAGTTTGCTCAAATTTTTTTCCGCTCACAGGAGTTCCAAATGTAGGCCTAACTTAGCTTGGAAAATTCTGTCTCCTTGTTTGAAAATAAGAATAACTTAGTCGTTTTCTGGGGTACCAAAAACAAACTCATAACGTGTAGCGATTAGCATCAATCTGAATTTCGACTTTTTCTGGCTCCTCAAAAAAGACTTTCAAGATAAAACAATCACTTTTCTGAAACTTAAAAAAAAATTGGGTTTTTTTTCTCCTGAAGTCATACCCGCACTGGAAAATAATTGGAAAAAAAAAGAATTTATTACGTTTTTATTGTCAATCTTCATTTTTTGGATTATAATTGATCGTAATTAATAATTTAAAAGGTAGAGGGGTGAGGTGAGGTAGAGGGGTGTCTGTGGGGGGTCTGGATTTATGTTTGGTGGTTAGGGTGAGTGTAGGGGGGAGGTTATGTGGACTGGGGTGGTGTGGGGGAGGAAGGCTATGGAAGGAGCATTGGGGGCGTGAAAATCGCGGAATATATTCATAAGTGCAACAATTAATCAATTTTTGTGGGTATTATGAACAAAAAAATTGATTATGTTGTAAAAAAATCGATTCTAACTGAATGTAATGGACTATAATGGATTTTTGAATATCCCCTAAGAATCCCTTTTCACGGTTAGATGGGTCATGAAAATTGTTTATTTGAGTTAAGTTGTGTCGATATAATCCATTTAAATTGATTTTTTTTATGAAATAGATTTTTTTAAATGAAAATCTAGTGCGGGTACTGATCAAATCGTGACCGCAAAGAATGGGCGTAAATGCATATGAGACATATAAATTACAGTTTCAGTTGTTTTTCTCCAAAAAAAATAAGCTAAGAGAATAAATGGATTGGGATCTTTTTTTCGTATAAGAAATCAAGCTCGATAAAAAAAATCATCACACAGAGTGGAGTGATCTATCAACTTTTAAAATTTCCGTTTGTGATTTTGAATATTCACCAAAAATCAATCCTGAGCTGAAATTGTTTAACAATTTAACTCTTGTGTATTAAACTTTTAGTAAAAAAGTTTTCTCTTTAATTCGGCGTCAAGTGTCAAAATTCAAAATGGCTTCATATTTGTAATAAATAAACATCTTTCATCATTCAGCTAGAAGAATTAATGGTCGTTTCTGTTATCAATTCAGTTTTCATTATTATTGTTTTTGGGTAAATGCCTTTATAATCAATTAACAAAACCGCTCGTATCAGGGCAAAGCCCCTGAATGTTACTACTGCCTTTTAAGGCCTGTGGAGCAGTAATGACTTGAAACATTTAAATGTTATTAATGAAAGGGAAAAATTTTCTTTTGAAAATCATCTCCCCACATGCCATAAAAAGTACAAAGTGATAGATGTTGCTCCTAGGAACAAATCAGTTATGGCAAATTTACTGAATTCAAACAATTTGGAACAATTTCTAAGACGGATTAAAGACTTGCCTATTCGTTAATAGCGCGAAATATGTAGCGCGGTAATTGTCCCAAATTGGCCAAAACGGCAATCTTTAAACCCCTATAACTTTACAAAAAATGATCACAGTAGAAATATATTTTTTCTTATGTTTGAGTTTAACACAACAATTTTTTTTGATTGATATAAAAGAATTTCGCGAAAATTGGCTAGTTAAACAGTCGAAACACCCCGAGCGCAAATATTTGGTTTTTTTGTGACATAAGTCGGAACAACAAGTGATTATAGGCCACTTTTTCAGACAAAACTCTTCTTATTTTTAGAAACATCATCTGTTTTAAATGATCCTTGTTTTCTACTTTGTCTGTGTTTAAATTCAAAGCTAATCATTTATAATCAAATTAAATTGATAAGAATCAAGAACGACAACTTCTTTGGCGGAAGGAAAAACTTTTGAGCGTTAAATTGAGATTACTACTTTCATTAGGTTTTCTAGACAGTAACCTTAATAAGACGTAACCCAATCGCGACAGAACCCTATTACGTTGCTTAGAAATTTTATGCAATTAATGAAAACCGAAAGTTTTAATGAAAACCGAAAGTTTATGTATCGCGTGGTTTTTTCCGTCAAGTTTTGAAAAACTATTTTTATGCTTCATTGAAAATACCAAGTATGACTCACTAAAATCAAAATTAAAAGGATATTTCACCTTCAATCATGTTTTGCAAAGCTTTGGGAGTTTGAAATTGCGAATTTGGGCATGACCAATTTGTGCGCTCTGTAGACATTATCCATAATTCGGAAAATTTAACGCGAATTAGTCATGCGCGGCCAATTATCCTGCGCAAGTCGTTCCAAATTGAATTGAGGCTAGGTAACCTTTCGTTTTAGTTTTCACTCTTGACATTGTTCAAAATTTATAGTTTTTCAAAAATTTCGTTTCCCAAAACTATTCCAATTAGATTAAGAGGCAATCGGGACATTTAGGGTTTTGCTCTGACACACAAGCAGTCTTGTTATACTATATAACATTTATTATCGGGCTTCAAAAATTTTCTATTTCACAGAAGCGAGTTGCGCTTCGCAAACAGTAGTGGGAAAATGACAAAATGTGATAAACTACAAAATTTGTAGCGCCGATGTCAAATGCAAATACTAACTGTTAAGTAAAATTAGTTTGACCAACCAGTTTGCCTCAATTAAATATGGAACGGTTATGAGGGCGGATAATTTGCCACGCATACATAAGTTGCGTAATGAAACAAAGTTTCAAAGTATTATTCCAGCTTCAAAGCAGCAATTAGGGCTAATGCAGACATACTCGGCTGGCAATTCGACAATTTCCGGATCGATGCCCATATGCAATCAACTTTTCTATAATGGGTCTGAATAAGAAAAGCCACCCCAGGCATATATATTCCTCACTTTCTTCGCCAATAATAAATTGCCAATGCTAGAAAGCAAAAATGCCACCAAATATAAACAAAACTGCTCGTATCAAAGAAAATATTTGAATGTAGTGGTTGTCTTTTAAAGTCGATGAAAAAATTTTTGCTTAAAAATAGCCAAAAATGAAAAAAAATTGTTTTTTTTTGTGAAAATATTTTGAAAATCATTTCCCCACACGCTAGGTAAAGTAAAAATTAAAATTTTACGCAAATAGCAAATATTAAATACACCAAATGTTTTGCCTCAATTTAGTTTGCAAATATTTCTAAGATGGAGTGAATCTTCGCTTATGCGTTAATAAAACGATGTATTTTGCGCTTTAATTGTCTCAAATTGGCTAAGTTTACAATTTTTAAGCCCGCATAACGTTGCGAAAAATGACTACAAGTCAATTATTTTCGAGACAACAATATTTTGATTGAATTTTTTAAATGCTGCTATTTATAGCTTTTTATAACTTTTTAAATATTGCTATTCAAAAAGTCAAGTTGCTTAATACGTAACTTGCCTGGAGAAAAAACTACCCGAGCACAAATATTGCGTTACATTCTTCAAAATTTGGAAAAACGAAACTAGTACGATCAGAAGCTTAACAATAGTCAAACACTAGCCAAAACACAGTATTGAACGAATTCTTTGAAACTTTCAATGCCTCAGATTTTGATTAGAGAAAAAGTATCAACAAATGAGCACACAATGTGCGAGTTAGGTTGAAAAAAGTAGAGCCATATTAAATAAAATAATGGCATATATAATAAATCTTTTTATTTATTTGATTGAAGTACAATTACAGTTGCAATTTGATTGATTTTCTTATTTTAACTGATTGCGGGCTAGCCATGATTATGACGCCAAAAAAATTCAAACTTTTCATTCTACATTTGCAAAAAACGTAATTTTCATAAATGATTTTGTTAAATATCATGTGAAAAATGATGAAAGGCTGCGTTCTTGTTCGAAAAAAATCTATTTGAAAAAAGCCAAGCTAAGTTTAGAGGAATATTCTACAGACAACTTGTAGCATCAAAAATTAGAACCAATAGAGATGTGTTCTCTTGTTAATCAAATATTCTTGTTAAAAACCTAAGAATGTAAGAAATTGTGATGAACAAAAAATCTGCAAACTTTTTAGGAACTCAGCCAGCTCCTGATGTACAAACAACTGGTTTTAAAAATTTGATGAAAAACATAAGACCAAAGTCCAGGCACCGATCTGGGGTTTTCTCGAAAGAGGGGGTTTTCAAAAAGAATTTGAAAATTTTTTTTAAGTCACAGCTTTTGTTAGCTTTTGACTTACTGAGTTAGCTTTTTCAAAATGCTTTAAAATTTCTTAACACTTAAAAAAAACTTTTGAAAATTTTATTTTTGAGCACTTTTCCGCATCCAATTTCAAGCATTAATAATCAATTTTATTAGGGTATTAGTACCAGTTTTTACTCAAATTGAGAAAAAAAAATTTCTTTGAAAACAAATTTTAATCAATAAAAAACTTTGGAATCAAATCAATCAGTAGTTCATCTATATTTTGATTAAATTATAATCCATTATAATCGATTAATTCTATTCTGCTTTTTAATTATTTTTAGGCACAAAAATCCATTTTAATTGACTTCAATCGGTCATAATTTTTTTTCTATTCTCTCGCCTTTTGTCTTTCACCTTGCATCTAAATTGCGTAATTTTTATGCTTTTCATAAACGTTGGTTTATTTACAAAATGCGAAAATCGTTTGAGCAGTTTTCAAATCAATTAGCATTTTAATTTTCATTTTTTTCTTAAATAGAGTTGTTTTGTGATGAGCATTTATAATTTTTTAACCACCAAACTATCAGCACATTGTTTTAGTTTCATGAGTTAAATGGAAGAATTGATTTCCACCCAGCGCGGTGGTAACCTCTCAACTATTATAAAGTTTTTTTTGCGATAAAACTTTAAGTTCAGATGAACCAAAATGTGACCAAGACCTGTATTTTTTAGAGATTTGTTATTGACAATTTTTCGGCAAAGTAAGATATTATAAAATATCATAATCTTCAATCAATTATAATTTCTTGGAAAATATCACAATAATAATCGACTGTTAGTCCTTTAAACACCTTATTTTGGTAACTCTATAAATTATATCAGCATGATAATCCGTTATAATCGATTACTTAAGCCTAAACTTGGATGCGGGTTCCTAAACGTCCTATAAGAAGATCTAAAAGGATAAAGATTTGTGGGGTTGTCAACCCCGAAAACGTTGAAACCTGAAATGTACCTGAGGAATAGCCCCAGTGTTGTAGACATCCTGGTCAATGTAGTCTCTTGGATTCGCTCCCCCATCGTACTTGTTTCCCACTCCTAGGATGTGTTTGAAGGGGGCAAGCAGAGTAGATGGGTCAGTGGTACCTGTGTTAACCAAGTACACGAAACCCACTCTTCTGAACCTGTCTGTAACTTTGGCTTTCAACGCATTGTTCGATGCGAGGTTTCTCTGGTACCTAGAATCATTTAAAACAAATTTAGATTAAGGTAAATTGAAAAACAAACCCTCAACTGCACAAAGGATTTTGTTTCTACTTACTAAAGGCAGCGGTTAAGAACAAAACCAATTAAACGGAAAGACGAAATTGATATTTTCTCTGCATTTCGAGCCAAATTTTCCATAGTTTTTTATTCAAGTAAGAGGCTCAACAAGTTTGAGCCGAAAACTCAAAAATATTTTTTGCTTGCCTGCTGCAATCAATAGTATACTCCTCTGGTTCGAGATGTTCCACATAACTTGTTTCGCGGACAAATTGAGGTATGAACTCAGGGCGTAGAAGTTTGGGCAAATTTTTCAAAGAACCAGTTAGCTTCATACTAAAGATATCACGTTGAACAGAATGAATGATCTGTCGACAGATTACAAAAGGGCGATTTAAATCGAGTAAATAATGCTTCTAAATTGATATCTCTTAGATTTGATTAAAATCGGGTGCGTTCGTCTGATAAACCCATTAACATATAAATTTATAGAAGTACAGAATGCAAATTTTCCAGTACGAAAGAGCATTTTAACTCCATTTAAGAGACTTATAAACTTAAAACAAATTTTCTCGTATCAGGGCAAACCCCTGAATTTTCTGAGAGACTTTTAAAGTCTATGAATCAGTATTCGCTTTAAAAAACCACTAGCAAGCCCGTCTCCCATAATCAATTTAAAAATAGATGTTAAATAGTTGTTAATCTGACTAAGCTATTCAAGCAATGACATTTCAAGTTAAGCCATATCGTAAATTGGTTTGAAAAATGTTAAATTTCGACGATACGAATCGTTTTTCTAGGCGAGTTGTTTCAGTTGAAGCTAAATCAATAGCAATTCGAATGGCAAATTTTTTTTTTTAAATTTGAGCTTAAGAAAGGAATATTTTCAGATGATGAAAAATTTCGTCAAAAAGTCTTCTTAAAAAGTGGAAGTTTGCCTGAAGAAAAACCACCCCGAACTCAAACATTCCGTTACTTTTGTAACGACAGTCAGAATAACAAAACTGCTCGTATTCAGGGCAACGCCTCGAAGGTTTTGTTTGCCCTTTAAGCCATATCGAATAGTTTCTTTGAAAAATAAATTAGTGAAAAGTTATAAATTTTGGACAAAATGAGGATCAAAACTTTCAATCTTACGAAATAAAGCGACAAATTAGCAAACCTCAATTCAATTTGCAATTGTTTTGCTGTGCGGTGAAATCGACATGCATCAAAAATTCGTGTTTTGCTTTGATCATTATGAATACAAACTTCAAAGCGCGCAGAGCATGGCCCACTTGGCAATTTTCAAACTCCAGAACTCAGCACAAACGATTGGAGATACCTTATGAGGCCAAACTGTGCATTTTGCGCATTGTAAGCGTCAGGCTAAAATCAGATTTGTTGCGGATTTTGCATTATTGCTACTTTACTTTGATCTTCCTTGCTGTTTTGGATTCCACAAACAAACAAACACCTTAAACATTGTACTGCTCAAAATTTTTCCAAACAAGCAAAATTGCGGAATAGACAACTGTCTTTGTGGAGTAAAGAACATGTAAAGAAATCCAAAAAATATATAAAAACATGTATCATTAAATTGAGCTGCTGTGCAAAACCCCAAAAATAAGCGATATCCGCCAATTGAAAGTGGAATCCGCAAAATGTAAGTGGAATCCGCCATTTTAATGAAAAACTGTATTAGGAAACGTTTTAATTCTGTGTTTTTTAATTTTTTAGGTGGAAACCAGCAATTTCAATCTCAATTAATATGTTATTCAGCTACCCGTTGAAATACCTGTCAGTGTCACTTCCTGTCAAACCAAGTTCGATCTCAACTTCTGTCAAACATACCAAACTTTGATGTCAATTCCTGTCTACTCAACCTCGATCTCAACAGCTGTCAAACATACCAAACTTCGGTCTCAACTCCTGTCAACACAAGTTTGATCTCAATTCCTGCCCCCATTATCAATAGCTGCAAATTGAAGAAATTGAACAAACTGAACTAAAAATCTGCTAACTTCCTCAGTTCAATTCAATCAACTCAAATAAAAGAAGTATGTTTCAATTTAACCTTTTTTGAGTGTTTTCAATTTTTGAACATCTAGTTTGATAATGCAAAATTTTCAAAAACAAAATTTAGTGTTTTTGAATTTACCATTTATACCAGCTGCAATTTTTGTGATGTTGTTAATTTTTATCTAAAACGGATTACTCAAATTACTTTTTTTATTAAATAATTTTCTTGAAATGACACAAATTACTTCAAATAGATAGCTTATTCTCTATGAGCAATTTTGAGGTGTCGGCATAATTTTCAAACCATAACTCATACTGCATACAGTAAAAAGAACATGGAAAATGACGGTGGATTTAAAAAGCTCAATTTTTAACAAACAATCATAACAACAAGCAATAAACAGTTCAAGATGTTTGTTCCAAGTCATTAAAAAATTTTGGGCGGACTTGGACTTATTAGGTCTAAATACTTCTTGATAGTTATCCTCGATGGCATATCTACCTCGGCATGCATTTATATGGCATCGGATTGTGCTGATGAGGAAATCTTTGTGCTCGTTTAACCTGGGAGATCCTATCAGAGTGTCCAGCTCACGTGTATGTTTGCTGGCTGCAAATCCCATTTTTTCCCAAGCACAGAACCATCGGATTGATGGCATCCAAAAAGTCTTGAGGTTATGCTGCTCACAATTTTAGCAGCACTTTGTATGGATGATACACCAATGGCCTTTCTTGTTAATGGTGGAGCTGGAACCAATACAAAAATTTGCCCTGTTTTCATTGCTCATCAAGCCAACGCGTCTTTTCATTGTCAAAAGTTTTGCAAAATTTTGGTTAATTGAGTCAGTGATACCATTCAGATCGCAGCTACTTTTGTCCTTTAACCAAGAACAAGAAAATTTGTCATATTTATTTTGGAAAAACATCAAAACTGAAACGAACAGCTAAATATCAAAATATCTGCTTCAGCAAGGTCCGCAAAAAACAAGCCAATCTCAGAGTGACATCCGCATTTGCGATAGACCTCATTCCAGCAAATGCTCGTTTCTTCGTGCAATCGAATTTAGAAATGACACGGATCATTTCTTTGGTGCGCAAGATGGTCGATCCTAGCTATAATCCCAAATTAGAATACGGTAAACTATAAAACCAATAATGATAATAACATAATCACATTTTTCAATATCGGTCAAAACCAAAATGCAGTATACGTTTTCAGGATATCAGGTGAAACCGATGATTATATTTACAGAACATCAGGAGTTTGAATGTGATTAATTAGCGGAATAGTTACTTTTTTGACTAATACATGATAGTTTTAACCGTATTACACCGTTGATGCATGGAGCAAGCTTCAACGGGATGTCACTTTCTGGCGTCAAAAAATAATCAAGCGATTTGAAATAGCTTCCTTCTTGCCTATTTTCTGGCTTTGGTCTCTGAGGGTTTGTCTTCGGGCCTAGCTTTCTCAGCATCCTCAATCATGACACCTTTGAAATTGTCTGGCAGTGATTCTCTGACTCGTTTCTGTGATTCAAGTTGTGACTCATTTCTCAAATCGGAGTACTTAACGTATTAAATACCACTGCCTGATGGTTCAAGTCCCTCAGTATCCTGAGGTTTGTCGATCCAACAAACTGTGCACTGGCAAACGAAAAGGTCGTTGATGATGACAATTTCTTTTTTGACACTCCTAGCATGTTCGAAAAAACCCATCAAGTCCTTGTTTAGCCATTTGGATTTGAACGATAGCTTCGCCTTTTTCGAACTCCGCCTTCTGCTGACGACGCAAGCATCATTGTGTTTGTAGATTTTTCTTATATTCCAAGCTGGTGCGTTTTTTTCTGTCTTCAGGGACGCTAAAAATCGCGCTTCACGGCCATCATGCCATTTGTTATTTACGCACTGATCGCTGATTATTGATAATGTTACAGCAGTTTCCTAAATGGAAGTGAACGACATCGAGGATTTGTACTTTTTCTTTTACCCAAGCAATTCTACTTAGCACGATGATACTTAGCATCAAATACTCTTTTATGACTAAACTGAGGAGCAAATTAATGATTGAAAATGAAGTAAGTTTTGGTTCAAGAATTGAAAAATGACAACTTCCCCGATGCAGCTTTAATGCGTCACTGATGATGACGGCTTCAATAATGAGAACTGCACTGTAGTTCTTATCAGTGAAGCAGTCATTATTAGAAGTCTTCTTATATTTAAGCCATCATAACGCCATCGATGCTTGGGTCACCTGGTGTGCTCAAAAGAGAGGAAAGGGTCTATGTCGTTGGTGTACTCTTATCTTGATCCAATTAAAACTGCTATTTCGATTATTTGGTGCAGATAAATTGAAAGCACTAGTTTTTTGATGGGAGCTTGGACGCTCAATTAAAATCAGTATATCCTCATCTTGTACTCAAGATTAGATTGCATCTCATCTTTTATCCGAATCTAGTAAAAACTTATGGAATTAAGTAAAAGTCGGATAACTGAAAGCCCATGTTCAGTGCTTAGCAGTTCTCCATCACCATTCGCAGTGCCTTCTTATATCCCTGTGCCTCCATCACCACTCCCCGCAACAGAGACAACATCATTTGCTCCTCCGACAATGAAAACCTCTTTCAGAGGCACCCGCGATCTTTCGCCTCGCCGATTCCGCCTAGATATGGGCAACCACATACCCCTCTACGACATGTCCATTCAGGCCCCTGGATGGTACAGCAGTGCCAACCTCATCAGAACTAGCCAAATACAAGCTACCTAAATTCCTATATGTCATCATCACCGTGTCCGAAATCTCTATGGCCATCAGCGTTGCCTCATTATCGGGAAAAAGAAATACAACCGCATGACCATGAGAGAAACCACAACCCCACAGAACCACGAACCGATGAGCCCACGGAACCACAAGACCACCGGATTGACGAGCCAACAGGAAGTCGCGAAAGGGATCATGCAGACTCAGAGAATATAGGCGAAAGAGTAAGTTGAAGCTTTAATTTTAAAAGCAAAAAGGTTATACAAGCATAAAAGCTTTTAGAAAACTAAAATCAAAACTAAACAATATTACAACCATATCATTTAGTCTATGGATTCTGGTAAAAAGTCCATGTTATAAACTTTCCAGTAAAAGGTCATTCTGCGAAAAGGTCGGTCCCCGCAATTAATGTGTTTTTGTCTGCCGGGCAGTTTACAGTTTAGTTCCTAGTTTTTTTTAGTTGTTCGTTTAGTTGATCGCTTAAATGTCATATTTTATTAGTAAGTTTGCTTGGGGATACCAAAGTTTTTTTAATGTTGTTGATTGGCTTCACTTGGTTGAACAATTTTTTAGGTATAATTGTATAGCATCATCTTTAAAACTACGGCTGCTGTGAATCAATTTGCATTTACATTCTATGGCGTTTTGAATTTAATTTGCAGTATGCCATATTTTCCAATTTGAGATTCTAATTAGTTGGGATGCTTAAGCCATCCTAATTAAACTGCATCAGTTTTTACAAAAACAGGTTAAAACCTAAAACTTCGTTTAACCGAGTTAAACCAATCAAA